AGCAATTGCTTCTTGTTCTTTAAGATTTGGCTCAAAGTTCTCTTGAAGTTTTATTAATCAGCTTTTCTAAGGGCAATGAACTGATCTCCAAATCTGTGTAATTACTCGTATATAATTATACTGTATGGCCAAACTAACTTATCCACCCGAATGTCATCTGCTTGGTGGGGTTGCAAGTGGGTAATGAAACAATCTCAGGTAAATGGAACTTTATTATCGATGTGTTCAAATTTTTAAAAATGTCTGTGAAGCTAATGTAAAGATCCCGGTCCATTGCGGTGGTCACAGTCCTTTAGGGAAAAAAAGAAAAAAAACATGTTAAGTTTGGTTTTCTCTATTACAGCACTCATCTTTTGTTAATGTCTTAATGATTGTTTTATAAACATGTTTTATTACGGCTGCCTTATTCTTTTTGGATGTAGGTGAGATGCAGTCCCCATATATTCAATTTTAATCTTACATAAAACAATAAAACAGGCTGTCTGCTTTTTTTCCTGTCTTCCCTAACATGTAAGAAGTGAGAGGAGTTTGGAGGGCGCTGTATTCATTATGCACTGTTGTGTTCTTCCTTTGTGGGCAGTATTTCACACACGTCCCACTATTTGGGGAGATTTCTGCAAGGATCCCTGAGAAAAGAGGAATTCAGTTTTTATTTGCTCACTTACAAAGTTTCTCCTCTTGGGTCCCTCTCAACCACTGTGTTTAGAATAATAAAGCATTCTCTGGAGACCACACTTTCCCCACAGCGACCTCCATTTGAGCTAGTTTTGAATGTGGACAGTGCACCTGATACATGCTATTAAAAAGGAGAGAGGAGGAGATTTAGTATAGTGTTGGATATCATTGTAAACAAGCCACTGAACAATGTCTCAAAAGCAGTATCTAATTGGTTATTGCATGGAGATCACGACTGGACAGCTATGAGATGAATTGTGAAGAAACCAGCTTGCTCTATGATTGAATACTTGTGGCCTAGGAGAAAATGTCCAGGGACAGCATTATGCACAGATTCAAAAAATGCTTTCTTTCAAACACCTCAAATGAATGTGAAGATGGTAAGCTCTGGAAAACTGAAAAAAAGTGGTTCTCATGGTGATAAAGTTCATATTGAAGTTAGTGTTGAGGTTTGAATAAAATTGTTTAATGATATGGGAATTGAAAATAATTTTGAATATATTAATTTTATAATACATGATTTTAATTAATCATACATGATATGTGTGATAAATTAAGTTACCTGTGATAAGTAAACCATTATTTCATTTGCATTTCTGAAAGTTAATGTATTCAGGTTGGGCTCAGAAATCTTTATTTTTACTTTCTTATTGGTATACACGTTATATATTTGAGTACATAGAGGATTCTGCTTTTTCTTTCTTTTCCACCTAGATATAAACATTTTGGGAACAGAGATCAATCTAAGTATAACTCTGATAAAGCCATTACATCACATTCTGGCATTGTTCTGCTCATTATAGATTCTCATGAAATTTTGGCCATTGATAATGGCAAATATAACATTTGTAGGGTAGGATTTCCATTGATTTGGTTGGGACTTTTTATAAAAGTTTTTTCTCAATTCTCATGCCCAATGCAAAGAAATGTGTATATACACATATATGAGATACCTGTAGCCATTAGAAATCTATTACATCTATCTATGTTATATGTAGAGAGAGACAGAGAGAGGCAGATTAGATTGTGTCTAATAAAAAATGTTTTGGTTTCAGTGGGTTCCTCAAGGAGAGAAGGTGTTCCTGCCCATGTTAATCTCTCTGCATCATCCATGCTAATGATTGCAATGCAGTACACATCCAACCCAGGTAAGTGGAAGTTTGGGTGTCTTGACTAATTCTGATACCAGCAGTAAAATAGGACATCAAACCAACAGCCTAGAAATTCTCACACCAGAAGAACTCTTGGTGGAATAGACAACTGGACAGGTGTTAGAAAGCAGACTTTCGAGTTGAAAGAAATTTCCCTTCCCTGTTGCTTTTAGCCGTATTCTTGCTGGCTCGTGATATTTTTAAAATGTGTGGGGACAGTTTTCAAACATTGACTGGAAATTGGTTGACTATAAGTATATGGAAATAGTAAAATCAGAAATAATAAAATCACCTATAATTGTAACAACTGAAGAGACTGATTTAATATTTTGTGAATTTGCTACTCTAATGCCACTTAGGTGTCCTTGAACAAAATAAATCTTATTGCCTTTCTATTTTCTTACAATCAATTCATGAAAGAGAAATTACTGGGTTAAAGGCCTTGAAAAAACTTCAATTTTCCCACTAACTGTGATATGAAAGTGATCTGTTACTGAGTATCATCATAAAATTCATATAAATTTGGATGGATGGAAAATAAGACCTCTTTGTTTTGATTTGTATTTGTATTTTTGAATATGAGTGATGTTGAATTTTATATGATTTACTCTCTTTGACTTCCTTGTATCAGTCTAGTTACAGATAAACTTGGGGGAACTGACCTACAAAGGGGCTGGCTGTTGGGGTCACATGCTAAGATAGGAATTCAGTCTTTATTTTCACTTAATGTTTATCTGGGAAGTGAACACATTTGATGGCACTGTTTTTGAACTTTCTACTTATTGAAATAATACATAAATGAATTTCTGAGTGAAAAAGGTTTTCACTTTAAAATCTTTCTTTAAAATTTAATTTTTAAAATTTATATATTTTTACATCATTTTTCATTTTTGCACAATGTATGCATTTTCATCTTGGTTATATTCCCCATACAATTCCCACCCCCCTTATTTTGACACTAATCCCTCCTCCCCGCCCCTCCCTCCGTAGTGTGTCTCTGGTTTATAGTTGCTTATTAATTTTGATTTTTACTTTCCTATAATTAGTCTTTTTCCTGGTCCCTTATTTAGGTTTTCTAAATCCCTGCTATGAGTGAGACCATCTGGTATTTTTCTTTTTCTTCCTGGCTTACTTCCCTGAGCATGAACCCTTCCAGTTCCATCCATGTTGCTGCAAATTGCATGAGTTTATCTTTTTTGACTGCTGAGTAATATTCCATGGTGTATATGTACCACATCTTGATCCAGTCATCTGATTTTGGACATTTGGGTTGTTTCCATAGCTTAGCTATTGTAAACAGTGCTGCTATAAACATAGGGGTGCAGGTGCCCTTTTGAATTAATGATTCTCTGTCCTTTGGGTAAATACCTAGGAGTAGAATTCCTAGATCATATGGAAGCTCCATCTTTAGCAGGTTGAGGAATCTCCACACAGCTCTCTATAGTGGTTGGATCAGTTTGCACTCCCACCAGCAGTGCAGAAGAGTTCCTTTCTCTCCACATCCTCGCCAACTTTTGTTGTAGCTAGTTTTTTAAATATGTGCCATTCTCACTGGTTAAGATGGTATCTCATTGTAGTTTTGATTTGCGTTTCCCTGATTACTTCTTAATCTGCAGTGTCATCCTTTAGATATGAAATCCCTTGTGATTACTATATGAGCTTGATTCAAATGTATAAACATTTTTGAAAACTATAGCTCATATCCTGCTCTGACTCCTCAAAATGGAATTTATATTATGTATTATGTCCTGAGAAGAAAAACCCTTTATTTGGAATCTAGTTAAATGAGGCTTTGGTCCTGTTTTCTGTGTAAAATCATGTGTTTTGAGGCACACCTGAGCTCACCTGCAAACTTCTATTAGCACAGTCTTGAACAAGTTCTGAAATTCCTCAAGCTCAAGTTTCCTCCTCTATCAAATGCTTCCTGAAGTACGTTAATGTGTTGTTGTGAGGGTCCAGTGAGTTAAGTGTATGTAAAGTGCTGGCTTGGTAAGGGCCACGTTGTAAATGCTCAATTACTGACAATGTGGGTGATGGCGACCTGCCAGTTTCCCTCTGCCGTGAAAGTTTTTCTGGGAAACCCCTGTGCCCAGAGAGCTACTTCTATTATTTTGAAATCTGTATCTTCGTCTGTTCACGGGGGAGTGTTTGTAGTCGGCTTATTCTGTGCTATGGATTACATAAGGACTCCAAACTAGTCTTGTTTTTTTCTTACTATTTTTTTAAGATTTATTTATTATGCACACAAGAACTAGGGTACAGGCCAGAGGTATGGGGGTGGTGAGAGTGTTACAGGGCAGGGAGAGGTGCACCCCAGACCCCCCCAAAACCTGCCTGCTCTAAATGGGTTCTGCCATCCGCCGCATTAACACAAAACATGAGACTTTAATGGGAAGGAACTTTAATACAATTAGGAAACAATACAGGAAAGACAAAGAATCTTAGTTTCTAAATCAAGCACGCAAAGTTACCCGTCCCCTCATGGGTAAAACTCCATCCAAATGGGATTGGCCCAGAGCAGGGCCCCAAAGCCTGCCACAAGTCTAGAGCATCTTCCAGTGGGGACCCACAGAAAAGGGTCAGAAACAACCAGACAAGCCCGGAAGGAAAAGAGCAAAATCAAAATAAAGATAAAAGCTGCCATGGTCACCTCCCCACAGGTCTCACCCACATCTGTGTCACTCAGTCCACGACCAAAAGACAAGCGCAGTTTCTTCACGTGTCTCTAGGCTCTATGCGCCTCCTCCAGGTCTCCTTCTGGCTCCATCCTGCTTCCTTCCTTCCTCCGTCTCCTCTGCAGCCTCTTCTCTCCCTGCTCAGCTCCACCCTCCATTTGGGTGGGGCAGGGACCTGGAACCTCCCCCTTTCCTGGGGACCACCCTGTTACAAGAGGATTCACCAGAGACAGAGTGGGGAGCAGAACAGGCAGACTGACTGAAATATACTGCTGAGGGGAGCAGCGGGCAAGACAGGAGAGGTCTGCTGCTCCAGGTGGGTAGCTCCCTGACTGACCAGGGATCGAAGTCCTGCTGCAGAGGCTGCGGACAGCTTCACAGTGTGGTGCTTAACCCCTTGCGACACCAGGGAGGCCCCGAACTAGTCTTGTGACATAGAAAACCATTAAGAACATATGTGCCAGGGCTCTCAGGAACCAAGTGGCAAATCACACGCTATTGTTTGAATCTTTACTGGGAGAGACAGCAGAGGGTAGCCGATGGCATGCTAAGGACAGCATGGACATTGTTCAAGGATCGGGCATTTGCGGGGTGACTCCAAGGCACACGGCTCTGTGATAGGCATTGTGGAAACCACCTGGGAGTGAAAGACAGGATGCTTGCTTTGGGCTTATGTCTCATTGGCAGGATTAGGCATATTCACATAAATGATTAATTTACAATGTAAAGTAGCATGTAAAACTACCACATACATACCATAGATGGCGTAAATTCACCATAGGAGAGAGCTCCATGGGTGCAAATGACTGGGAAGATCTTCAGGGCCTTAAAATATGGATAGAATTTTGACTGATAGGGTAAGTGGGGCATTCTGGTGCGGGGAGCAGTTTTAGACAAAGAGCCTCTCCAAGTCGTTTATGGGGCTGTCAGAAGACTGCCCTGAACAGTTTGTGTAGCTGCACACAGGGAATAGCAGACAGTGGTAAGGGAACGTGGCCTGGGTTATCTGCAAGCGGGGACACTGGGATGACTTAGCAGCATTATAGCTCTGGCAGCCACTCACACACTCTGTAGTATCTTCTTGTGCCGGGCGCTGGGGACATCATGGTCAGCAAAACGGAGTTGACCTCTGCCCTCGCCTCAGGAAGCTCACTCTATGGTGAAGGGAGAAGACATTCATCAAATCATCATAAAAACAAACCTAAAGTGGGCCTCCCCGGTGGTGCAGCAGTTGAGCACTGGGTTGTGAAGCTGCCCGCAGCCTCCTCAGTGCCGGTTCGACCCCCGGCTGCTCCCCGGCCACCGGGAGGAGGGTCCCACATGGCGCTCAGACCTCTCCTGCCGCCTGCTGCTCCCCTCAGCAGTGTACTTCGGTCCTTCTGCCTGCTCTGCTCCCCGCTCTGGCTCTAGTGAATTCGCTCACCCTCCCGCGCTTCTGACTGTACCCAGTGCTTGTATAAATAAATCTAAACAAACAAACAAACAAACAAAAAAACCCTAAAGTGCCAACAGTGACAGTGGGTCAAACAATGTATGTTAGGCCACAAGAAGACCCTCTAAAGGGAGAATTCTTAAATCATGTGGAAGTAAGCATTGGTCTGAGCACTAAAGGATGAGTAGCATTAACAAGGCCTACAAGGGAGTGGAGATTTCCAGGTGAAGGAACCCCAGGTTTCAGAAGAGAAGCTGGCAAGCAGGAGGGACTGAAGAGCAGTGCAGCTGGAGCTCAGTGTGAGGGCTGCCTGGTATGAAATGAGACCCGGACTTCTGTGGGATGTTGTGGGTTCTATTTGGGAGTCCTGTGTTCATACAGCGTTTAGTGGGAATCCACCAAAGGACTTTGAATCTGTCACCCTGACTGCATTGACAGTGGATTAAAAAGGAGCCAGAGAGGCTTTTGATTGACCGACAGAGGTCATTGCATTCGTCTAGGCATACAGAAGCAAGGGGGGTGAGAGTGAGAAAAGTGATGGGAACTTGGTGACAAGGTGAATGTAGTGGATTCTGGCTTTTTAACTGGTCACATGATGGTTCTATTCGCGGAGAAAGAAAGGAGACACTGGAAGAACAGCAGGCTCCTGAGGGAAGATCATAGATCTGTTTTGGATATGTTGTGTTCAAGGTGTCTTTGAGACAATGAGGAGGCGATGGTACACCTTGGACTAATATAATGTTATATATAAATTATATCTTAATAAAACTGGAGACATACACGCAACCGCAGTAATAAGTATATACATATCCAAAACACAAAAATGCAAGTCAATCAGCTTTCTTTAAAAAATAAAAAGAAAGAAGTGATGGTACAAGGAGGTTGTATTATGAGTCTGGAACTCAGAACAGAGCTCTGGACTAGATGTAATGAACTTGAGCCTTCATCTAAGTGTCCCACAGTGACATTCATTGAACCGTATATGGAGAGACGGTGGGGTGAAAAGTGGAGTATCGGGAATGCCAGTGGGATGGTGGCCGGGGGGAGAGGATGAGCTTGCCAAGGGGACAGAGAGATTGTGTCTCTCAGCATCAAGCTGTCTTTGACTAACAGAGGCTTTAAAGTACAACAATATCTGTTTACACAATAGGAATTCTTGGAGCTATTTCCATGTTATTAGGGGTCAGAGATGGCATCTGTGTGTTTTTCTGGATTTCTCCTCTTCTTTGTAAGAAGGATGGCACAGTGGAGGCTGTTAAATTCTTACACAATCACATTCAGCCAGGGAAATTACAGAACGGTCTCCTTGCATGCCTCTGCTTTCATCAGAGAGAAAAAAAAATAAGTCTCAGAAGCTCCCCAGCTGATTCTCTCTTAGATCTCACTGGTCAAGACAGAGTCAGATGGCCATCTCTAGATGCAAAGGGGTCTGTAGTCTCTGTGTTAGAAATTGGACAAGTAGGAAAGGGTTGTTGATTGAAGTTCAGTAGCAACAGCAGTTTCTGCCACAGTCACCCTGAGAGGGTTAGTGATGAAGTCAGGGGAAGAGAGTATTTTAAAAGGGACACGGGGGTGAGTGGTACTAAATGCTGCTGGAGGTCAAGTAAGAGGCAGACTGAAAATGTCCACTGACTGGAGTCCTGGGTGGGGGTGGGGACGGTCATTGGTAACTATTGATTGCTTCGGGGCCAGGATAGACTAGAGGAAGACAGATCGGGGAAGGTATAAAACATCATCTTGGGGGAAAGCACAACTTTCCCAAGTAAACAGAAGTAAAGCAAAGTAGTTTGCTGTTGTATAGCTGACACATTCTTCAATAAGATGGAATTGGTGGTCAAATGAAAAAAGACACCCATTTTAATCCATCAGCCTGTCACTTGGTGGCTGTCCAACCTTGGGCAAGGTAGGACGCTCAGCTTCAGTTTCCTAACTGCAGCAGGGAGGTCAGGAGATGATGTGGGTAAAGCTTTTAGCACAACACCTGGCACATAATGAATGCTCAATAAATGCCCACTGTTACAGTGACCCAACAGGTCACTTCTTTTCCTATGTAGTTCTTGATTGCACTGGCATCAGTTTATATCCCAGAAGTCTGATTACAAAGGTTTTTTTCTTTCTGTTTCCTTTGTGAATAAGATGAACAGAAACACTGTTGGGTCTTGGAATAAAGTTTGATGAAGTCAAGGACTTACATGATTTTTTTTTTTTTTTGTGGGACCCTCGCCGGCGGCCGGGGAACGAACTGGCACTGCAGAGGCTGCGGGCAGCCTCGCAGCCAAGCGCTCAACCGCTGCGCCACCAGGGGAGGCCCAAGGACTTACATGATTTTTGAAAAACGTGGATATGTGAAAATAAATAAAGTTGAAATGAATAATTAAAAGTGAAAAATCATACTAATATAGTTTATTATATTTCAGAAAGATGTTTTGTTTCTTACATTTCATGTTCAAATTGTATTTTCTCCCTCACAGTGTATCATTGTCAATTATTGGAATGTCTCATGAAATATAAACAAGAAGTATGGAAAGTAAGTTTTGGACCATATTTAACTCATAGCCACAAACTTAATCCATATAATATAATAAAATTGTTTGTATGTTAAAACTATCATCTAGGTAAAATTTATTGATGTTTTATTGTTTTGGTGTGACAGAACCTATCGTTCTTTCCTTACTCGTTAATTATTTATCATTTAGAGCAGAAATGATACTTGAAGAAAGCAGTGGCTTAACAGAAAATATACTTGGATAGATCTTATTCTTGGAATTTAGCAAATTCTAATCATGTGACAGTTTTATTTAATTTGAAAGGTTGTTTGAGAACCTCTCTTCATTCAAATAGGAGATGTGGATTATTAAGAAATGTGTTTTAGGAAAATGTTAGTCTTTCACATTTTCTGAATAGAGAAGAATTTGATAAAAGATAGTGTACTTTTGAATTCTATCTGGGAGACTTGTTTATAGGATCAATAAATAAATAATAATGTTATAATATGATGTGATCTGAGCAGCACACCTGGATGATGACATCCAGGCAAATCAACCGTCTCGACCTGTCTGTTGGATATTTTGTTGTTTTGGTAATATTGAATGCGTTACCTTTATTTTTCATTTGATGATGCTAAGTTAAGATATGCTCCTGTTTCCTTTAGGATCTTTTGTATGTGATTGCCTATGGGCCTTCACAAGTGAAACCTCCAGCTGTGCAAATGCTGTTCCATTACTGGCCCAATTTAAAACCTCCTGGGGCAATAAGTGAATACAGGGGCTTGCAGTACACAGGTAAGAAGAGAATAATAGCCCTGTGATGCCCCCTCTTTATTTCTCCTATGCCAAATTTGCCTCACTTCCATATTTTTTATCTTGCTGAATTATATTTACTATGCCTTTAGACATTATCAGAAGTCCTATCTGAAACTAGGTGGTATAAATATCAATTAATTAAAACTACCTTCAAAAGCATGTATGACACCATAGCAAAGTACTTAAGTCCCAATCCCATTTATTATACACTGGCCTGTGGTCGTAACTCTCACTAATGTTCATCTCTACTGAGCTGTGAGCAGTAAGTAAGGCTGCAGATTTGCTCACCATTCAGCAAAAACCCCAAGTGGCTAATTCTGCTCTGGTAAGACTTAGAGCACATTGACCATTACCCATTCATACCCTATATAAAAATTAAATGACCTTGATAGCCTCAATGGACAGGAGGAATCAACAGTTGTTGAATACTGTATAATCAGTAACTGAGAAGTTAAACTGTGTTTAACTGTGAAGATACATATTTAATAAAAAACAAACAAGCTCCAGGTCCTGGGTTGTTGTGGTGTTTCTGTGAAATCAAGGTCCATTTCGATGCCCCTGACCACTCTCCTGCACTGACTTTTATACATAATGTCTCTGAAAATGGGAGAGGTAGATTTTTTTTGCAGGTTTAGCTTTTATTCAAATAATTGCGGTATTGTGTACTGACAATTCTGAGACTCTACTTTCTTGGTGTTTACAAAGGTTTATAAAGATGATTTGGTGTTTCAAAGGGGATTTAACTTAATCAAGTGCCTGATTTATATTCCCGTTAGAAGCAAAGTGTTAGAAATATTAATACCTGTGTTTGAGCTTCAATAGATCTTGGTGGGCTTATTTTGAGATCACAACAAATAATTAGCATTGGTGGTAACAACAATATGAATGGAAGCTCTGCGGGTAAATAGGAAGTGAACCTTTAAATATGGAAGTTGGTGTCAGTGGCGTTTTAGAGCATCAATAGGAGAGACTAAGTATTGCCAAGTAGATTATTTAAATGTAGAAACAGTAGAAAAGATTGGAAACATTAATTAAAAAAAGGTGACATGACTGAAAAATTTGACTCCAACCCTTTGTTGACAAATCCTTGAAAAACAGCATTTACATGATGTTTGAATGGATAATACGTATCAAATGAAATTTGTTTGATAAATATTTAAAGAGAAACTATTATGTGCCAGGCACTGTACTTTCGTTGATGGTGCAGAACTGACACAAAACCAGATCTCACGGAGCTTAATGCAATATAGATACGGAAATTCATTCACTTATTCAACAAATATATTTCAGGGGTGTCTACTATTAGCAGGACATTATTCTAGGCACTGGCAGTAAAGTGGCGAAAAAAAAAAGCAGATTAAAATCACTGATGTTGGCACTTACATTCCAGTTGTGGGGGCAAGACCAGGAAGCTGCCCTA